GACGTGTTGTAGGAGAGCGATGCACCAAAATAGGTGATAAAATAATAAATCTGGTTTTATTTAGCTAGATGGTAGCTTCTTGAGAGATAGCATCTCCCCAGGTTGCCTCGGGGCGGGGGTTTCCCCCCAGGGTTGGCACCTCTAAGGGACCTGGGGATGTTTGCAATAAGGTCCATGAAAGGCAGCTGAGAGGAGCCCACTCGCTGCTTTTTGCCTTGAAATCAGCGCCCAGTGCCTTAAACCATAAACCATAAAACCGTAACTCCCCCGCCCCCCTTCTGCAGCTTGAGGAGTTCTCCCTTCTCCCCCTCTTTGGCTCTTCTGTAAATAAAAATGAGCTTTATTGATTTTATTTCAGTAACGGAGAAATAATTTGCCTTTGGCCCGAGCTTACAGGATGCTAAACTCCAGTCAGGAGTGTGGTTTGGGTTTGGTTTTTTTTTCCCCTCCTTTTATAGCGTTTCTGATCTGTGTTTACGATGCCAGCGCTGACACATCCTAAACTACAGCGTGGCTATAACCCCCGGAAAAAACTCCCGGCGGGATTGAAATAGTGGCTGGCAAATGTTCCCTCCTCGCTGGAGCTTGTGAATCAAAAACCATCAACGGTTTAAGCAAAGCCTTGTGCCGGGGAGGGAGAACTTATGCCGGAGTCGATGCATATTTTATCACCGCACTTATTCACTCGCAGCCCTTCTCCCTTCGAACGCCGCACGGGTTTTAATTAAATAGTCATTGGCGAGGCTGTTATTCTAGCTTGGAAGGCCTCCAAATGGCCGTGTTTTTTCCCCAAAACGATCACAAGGGGATGTGCTCCCATCCCCCCCCCATCTTCGCCAAGGTTTGTCTTCTGCAAATACCGCTAATTACATTTGTCTGGCCGGACGCCGGCTCTGCGATAGCATCTTTCATTAGCGCTGACCTCGCCGTGCTCGCAAGGAGCTGGCTGGCGTTCCCGGAGCGGTGCCTGGCGGATGCCACCCAGAAACGTCCCTTCGGCACCGGGCAAGCGGGTCTGGCTCTTGCAAGCGATGGGGTCGTGTTGAGCCCTGGTTCGTTAGTGTCTGCTTGTAAACGAGGTTCTGCGGCTGGGGTGCATCTCCCGGTCTACACAACTGGGTTGCTCCCGGTTGGAAACCGGAGTGGAGAAAGGCTGAGGTTGGTGGCTCCAGGATCTGATCTACCAAGGGGTGGCTGGTGGCCATCTACGGGTGGTCGGCTTGGGTTAGGTGCAGGAAGGGTGAAGAAATGAGTAGGAGAGGACAGGGCATCTCTCCTCGGCTTTAAACATCTCGTGGAGGCTCTCCTGATGGCAACGCAACCTGTCGCGGCATAGGTGTTGCTGTGGGCAGCTCTCCAGAGGGTCTCGGGGAAACCACGGCCGGGGGCTGCGAGGTGCCGCCTCCCTTACGGGCACCCAGAGACGCTGCGAAGGGGCTTTCCATCCCCCTGGCTTTAAATCCCCACCAGGTTCCTCAACCACCGGCACAAGTTTGCTCCTGCTTGTCAGGAGCGAGATACTTAATTTGTCAGTTCGCTACGCTTAATATTTCTTTCATGTATCGCGTCGGTTTTAAATGCAAAACATGTCTGGATAAGCTCACTTTTTTGCTTTTTGGTTTTTTTTTTTTTTTTTTTCATCCTGCTGTAGCTGACACATTGAAGGTAGCCGTGTTTAACTAATAAAAAAGATTTTAAAATGCTGGTTTTGCACTTCTTTAATTGACTTCCAATTTCCATTCGCATGCAGCCTGGCACGTTGCAAAGGAAAAAAAGAGCGCCGAGCAAATAAGAAATGCGTCACTCCCTGTTTTTTTATCATAATCAAAAATGTAAAAATTAAGAATCTGAATCAATGTACATTAAAGTATGTAATTGCCTAAATAAACATGTCAGGGGTAGATAATGGATCTTCCTGATTAGAAGAAAATACTGAATTTAGTGCAAAGGTTATATTTGGTTGCAAAGCCGTGCGGTTTAGTGGTTGCACCCTTCTTTTGGGAGATAAACCAGGCGGGGGGGCTCAGAGGGCAGCGATGGGTCCAGGCGCTGGCCATGAAGGAGCTCTCTGCTGGAGAGCATCCTCAGTGGTACCCTGGAGGGAATCACAGGGATGGAAGAATTGCTGGTGAACGGTGGAGGTGGGTTTTCCCAGCTTTCACAAGCCCGCTGGTGGTTTTGGTTTCTCTTCCAGCACCCAGTCCTGGTGGTCCCTGACCCGGCGAGGGTCCTGGCTTGCAGCAAGGGAAGAGGGTCCCGAGAGCAGGACCCTCCAGGTAAACGCCCAGCCCGGCTGGGTTTACTGCGACCTCCAAGTATTTATCACCACGTGAGCTTGCTCGGGGTGGTTTGTAGCTCCAGAGGGGAACGCTGTGGGGTTTTATAAGGATGCACTGCGTGCCTCCCAGCCCTTTTCCTTGTAAATTGTGGCAGCTTTGCCCACTCGATCAGCTAAAATAAATAATATCCCGATGTCATAAGCTGCACTGAAACTGCTCAATGGTCTTATGGTTATCCCGAGAGCTGCAAGCCCGCTGTGTGAAGCTCCTGCCCATCAGCAGAAGCACAGAGGTGGGTGTCCGGCACGGCTGGAAAGCAATGGCCGGCAGGTGGTGGTAGGATTTGGCCGGTGATGCTGCCGTTGCCACCGCACCTACCAGCCCTCCAAAGGCTCCTTCCATGTGCTGGTATTTGGGAGTCAAAAGAAAAAAAAAATCATCCAGGTCTGAGTATGGGTTTGCTTTTGTCCTTTCCCCTTTGCTTTCCTTTAACTGCAGCCAAACGTTGTTTCGCAGTCAGCCATGGGATCGCTGCATGCTTTTTCCTCCAAACCTGGTTGTCCTTCCCTGCAGAACAAGCAGTGCTCCGGTACGGGATGTCCCCAGAGCTTTTAATCTCCAAAATGCCTCCCCGGGCGAATTGTGTTAATATTGGAGAGTGCAGGAGTGGGGGGAGAGCTGCCCACCCTCGGCCGTTGTTATTCATCGCTCACCGTCACGCTGGGGAATGAGGCAAAGCTCCCGGGTTTGGAGGTTGCAGCCTGGCAGCAAGGAGTTAAAGGAAAGGTGAAATATTAAGCGGAAGCAAAGAGGCACCGTGAGAAGGGCAGGATCCCAGGAAAGCTTTTCTGAGGATGAAAAAAAGAGAAGAGCTGTCACTTGGAAGGGCTCCAGCTGCCCGGCTCCCACCCAGCCGGCGCGTCCTCGGCTCCCCGGCGCCCAACCTGCCGCGGCAGGGATGCTGAGGGGCACGCAGCCGGGGTGATGGTGGGGGTAGTGTTGCAGGTTGCAAAGGGGCTGGGCTGCTCCCGTGAAGCAGCTGGTACCTGGGTTTTGGCAGGGGAGAAGTAGAGATGTGTGGCAACATGTGTGAGCCCATCTTGTTGAGCTTGCTGCTCTGAGCGCCAGCTATGGGGGCAGCTAAATAACGAGGAGTTAAATAATAATGATGATAATAAGGAAGTTTTTTTGACTCATGAGGTTTACCAGCCTCAGCATCCCAGCATAGAGAGATGTTGGGATGCAGGAGGCTGCAGCGCCGGCACGTATTCGGTGGGGTGGTCCTCCTGGAGCAGGAAAGGTGGGTGAGAGGCTGGACCGCGGCAGCTTTTAGCACAAGGAGAGGGTGCATCGCCCACCCTCCATCAGCAGAAGCAATGCGCTACAGCTAACGAGCAAACCTCCGTGGCAGGGTTAATTAACGCAGCCTCCCAAGGTTTCCTAACCTGGGTGGGTGCCGCTGACCATTGCAGGAAGCCCTTGAAGGCAGAAATGCGAGGCCTCTAGGCAGTGACCTAGAGAAGTCATAAATACTTTTGGGAGCACTTTTAGAGAACATTAACCTAAGCTCTGCTAAACCGCCATGAACAGCAAGTCGTAAACGGTGATACCGTGGGCTGCTCCAGCACCATCCCTTGTCTCCAAGCGCTTCAAGAGCATCCATGACTTCATGCTCATGACCTGCTGCCACCAAGGAGACAGGTACGGGAGGGTTTTGTCCGTCTGGGAGCTGTTTTCGTCCGTCTGGGGCTGACAGATGACAGATGACAAGCCGCTTGAGGGGAAGAAAACGCAATTACCCAAAGTAGGCTCTTGGCAGGACACAGAAACGGCAGAGTGAGGTCGGTGAAACCCAGGAAAAAGGGGATGAAAGACCGGCTGCTCACATCCAGGGCCCTGGTTTGTTTGCGGTTGCCTCCTCAGAGACGTTGTTTGTGCGGTAATTAGCAATGTAAAACATGCATCGGCCTCTTTGTTCCCATTAGGCTTGGCTACGGCTTGAAATGATGCGCAACAGTAGCCCGTGGTTAATTTTACCAAATGTTCACTTTAATTTCATTTAAGACCAGCTGTCTATAAATCTATAGTGCCGATTTGCATCGCATGCATATAAATATATATATAGATAATTCTGTGCTGAGGAGAAGGTAATGGATAACAAGGCATTGCTAGGAGCAGTTCATCCTCTGGCCCCCAGCCTCCCACCCCGGGGTGATGTGCGCGGCCAAGCCTGAATGTTGGCTTGATGCCGACGGGGCCGACCTTTGGGTGATACCTCCTGAGGGGTCAAACCTCCCTGCTGTCTTCCTCCACCCTACAATCCCCTGTGTGTTGCGTGTCCAGGTCAATATCAGACACCCGGCGTGTAAAGCAGCTACTTATCGGGCAGCGCACAGCTGGGAGCCTCCAGCGAGCCGTGGTTTATTTGCATCTGAGCAAGCACGCCTATGTTTAAATACCTCTAAGCAAATGAGTCCGCCCAGCTCCTGCTTGGCTCTCCCTTGTGTCGTCGAGGCTGGGTTTACTGGCAGGATCCGAGGGCGGGTTGTCTCCTTCCCTCCTTACGGGGGCTGGGGGGCAGCCTGCCTTATGCGTGGCCCTGGTAGCGTAGGTCCCATGCTACGTGGTCCAACGTGGGCTGGTGGCTTCTTCTACCAGCTTTCACCATCATGTCATGTCTGAGCCACCACCACTGTTACATGAGACCCCGGCGTGGATCCCTCAAACCTGCGTTTGCGTCGTCCCTGCCTCCGGCAGCACCAGGACGGCTGGGAGGAGGCTGCCGCGGGGCGATGGGAAGGGCTGCAGCTCCTTGGTCCCAAAGCGTGGTGAGATGTGATCGGCCAAGAAGCGTATGTGGAAGTGCCGGCCGACACAGTGCACGAGGCTGCCCACCACGGCGCACTGGAAACCGGACAGGTTGGGCATGGCATAGGCAGCACACTCATACCATAGCTTGGCCTTGGCACTGCAGCGGTAGACGCCGATACCGGTGCTGCGGTGGAGGTCAAAGCGGTAGATGAAGCCGTTGGCGCTCACCATCTCGGCCGTCCTGTCCTTTCCACCACCGGCCGGGCTGACCCTCCAGCTGTCTGAGCGGGCGGTGTAACGCAGCAGCACGTAACGCAAGGTGCCCCCCGTCACGTAGATCTCCCCATCGCACACCGTAGCCGTGTGGGCCACGGCGAAGGTGTCATGGGGCAGCGGTGTGGTGAAGGTCCAGCGGTCCTGCCGGGGGTCGTAGCGCTCCACTGTGTAGAGGCATTCACCGCCAATGGCGTAGAGGTGCCCGTCCAAGGCCACGAGCTTGCAGTGCGGCCGTGCTTGGTTCAGAGGACAGATCTCCCTCCAGATGTTGGTCAGGGGGTCATAGCAGAAGACACGGTTGGAGGATCTCTGTGTCTGACCCGTGCCCTCACAACCGGCCACCACGAAGAGGTAGTTGAACATGCTGCACATGGCACAACCCCGGGAGACCACCTCCGGTGGCACATGGCAGAGGTGATGCCAACAGTCCCTTCCATCATCGTAGTAGCAGAGACGGCTGGCGTGGAGGCCAGGCTCCTGCACGTTGACGTCTGCCACGACCACATACATCTTCCCCTTCATCCTCTGCTGCAGGATGAGCTCCCGCTCGCCGGCGTTGAGGCGGCCATAGATGGAGGGTGTCCTCAGCACCTGCAGGTAGTTGTCGCTCATCACCTTGTAGGCAGCCTCCTGGAGGTGGCCGAGCTTCTGCGCCTTGGCTTTGCAGAGGACCTCGTAGCAGTTCCCCAGGTTCAGGTGGGTGGGTGATGGCATTTGGAAGAGGTCAGTGCTGGCCACCAGCCCTGGCTGGGGGCTTGCAGGCGGCATGCTGGCTGGTGCCGTGACCCCAAAAACCTCCGTGGGCAACTGGGGGGGGGGGGTGTCGGGGATCTGGAGGATGCTGCTCTTGCGGCCA